AACGTCAACAGTCGGGTCGGGTGCTCCAGCTTCAGCTACAGCTCCAGCTCAGAGCTGGTATCGGTATCGATTGAGGTTTCTCGATGATTACAACAGTGGAGAGTCAATTTGTGCAAATTATACTCGACACGTTCGAGTATGGCGCTCTGCGCAGGGAATACTCGAATCTCACATGCGTGCCCGATGGCCTGGCCTGGACGTCGTACCAATCGTGTCCACACTTTGGACAGGAACGTTACTGGGGCAGGGAGTGAAAAACTTTAGTTGGGTTTCCATTTCCATAGCAGGTGAATGTTCCTCGGGGAGTGTGACAAATGCTTTCGTGAGTCCCAGAGCAGCCAGCCCACAATGGGGAAGTGGGCGCACCAAATGGAAAGTTCGGACAGCCAGCACTCTGAAATTATCTCTGGAGGAAAGATAATTGAATATATTTGCAAAGTTATCTCATTTCATTCGCCCGACTATGAGTGCTGCGCGTAAACCCGTTTTAAATATGCAACAAAAAGTTGGCAAACTTCTTTCCAAAATAACTTTCGTCCTGCCGGGTGGGGACTTTGCGAGTGGAAATGGGAATGGAAATGGGAATGGTTCTGGCAAATGTGTGGGCGCTTTTCCCAGTGTCCTTGACATCGTTGGAAAGCAGAAAGTGCGGACGTCTTCGAGGGATCAGGACTAACCGAGCTAGGACCCAGTGTTTGACTGGGCCTTGGAAACTTGTAGAGCCATGAATGAACTTGTTTGGCATGAGGCTTTTTAAGTTTTTTCGTGCCACCTGGGACTAGAAAGTTTCACCATAAAATCAAATCAAAACAATTCAAACGATAATTGTTATGGTTTATGATTTTATTCATGAGAAACAAAAGACAATGAGGACCCACAAAATGTCATCAGGATCCGATTCGAGGACTCTAGCTACTGTCGCTTGGCATTGGAATTGGATTGGAAAAGTTACAGGCAGTGAAAATTATTCCTGCGCCTCCTGCACGCAGGAGAATCCCACTCCTATGATTGAACGCAATAATGCGACACTCCCCCAGAGCTAGAATAACCGAAACTGTACAATCACGTTCCCTGGCCAGGAAATGATTTTCAGATCTCTTCATTTTCCCAACATGAGCCCAAGAGTGTGAGGCATGGGGTAGCGGTAGCATATAGGAACAAATATATTTACTTACATACATATGACACTATATGTACTCGTACTTTGGAGCATCTGTCTGCTGGCAGTAGGCACCGTGGTTCGTTCTCGTTCCCCGTTTCATGTCAGTCTGTCGCTTCCGTCAGTTCCGCATGCAGGCGACAACCGCGTACAACCGCGGACTCGGGACTCGGGATTGGGGACTCGAGATGGAACTGGAGTTGTGGAATAAAACGCACAAGCAGGTTATTTGCAATTCCAACGCAAATTTTGAAACCGCTGCGCACTCTGAGCCGGGAAACGAACGCAATTGGGAGCAGCGGTGCCGAGCAGCATAAACAAAGTGGCCAGAAACAGAGAAGCGAGAAGAGCACAAAAACCAAACGAAAATACATTCTAAAGTATTCGGCGGTTTTCTGGCGCTTGCAGATGCAGACGGAAGCAGACTGGCAGTCAGAGTCGGAGCCAGTCAGACAAGAAACCCGGGTCCACGTCCCATCTGTGGCTGGGCTGCCACGGCTTGAAACATTTCCATGGCTGCGTGCTGCTACACTGAAAACGGCGAGTTCGTCCCGCGCTGCCACACAAACTCTTATGAGAATAATGTCGCTCATACGCCCTGTTGGCGCTAATATTTTTTTCGCACTAATGAACCGTGCTGCGACGTCATGTGCGTAGCCACTTTCAACAAGTGTGGAGGGGAGGCACAACGTGAGCTCCCCTGTGTTTGCTCACACTCTTGCTACCCACACACATGTATATACACAAATACATATGTACATACATACGATGGAACGCACACCTAGGACTCTCGGAAGCAGTGGCATGCAAACATACTCTTATTTATGTGGCCACGTGCTGCTGCATATCTCCCCCGAATTTTACATACCACCATACCGGGCCGGTGCCGCTGATGCTTGTTATTCCAGGGACACAATGCCCAACAGCGAGGTGTGGGAGGGAGCAGGGTGGGTGACAAATAACTTTCGACACATGATGCCACAATACTAGCCATGAATTCCATTACTCGCATGCCGCAAAAAAACAAGGCCTCTGACATTGAGGAATTTCTATGAAAACCTTTTTAATATATTTATTTTCTCGATAGATTGGATTGGATTTTATAACGAATGCTATAAAAACAATACCCCTTTGTCTCTTGATATATGAATCTATCGACGAAACGTCCTTCAGAATTTCATATATTGCATATTCTTTCCTCTTCTGAAATAATTTGTTGTTATTTAACCACGTTAACCCATTGACATTTCAGCTTTTAAACTTGATCAGATGCGTCCAATTAGACCACTTAAATTATGTATTTAGCTGTTTTATTGCTTAGCCAAACCTATTTACCTAATTAATATTCTTAGCCGTACGCTCAGTGCGTAAGTGAGAAGTAAATATTCAGAACATTGGCAGGGGGCTTTTATGAGTTTTTATAGGAGGCATAAGGAGTTATGTGCTGCTCCATAACTCCTCAGTAGACGCATAATTTCAGTGGTTCTCTGGAGCTTTCGAACATAAAATAGATTTATTACGACAAAGTGGATTTTAGCATAAATCAGATTGTGCCTGAGAAATGTCGGGCTATGATTTTTACAAGACTGTAATAGATAATTTCAGCGTTAATGTAACACACACTGGAGGTGTGTCCTTTCATTCAGCACTACCCGAGCATGGAGCAGTTTTAAGCCATAAAATATTTACGAATGGCGAGAAGCTTTTCAGTATTTGTACTTGGTTTACGGCCATCGTAAATTGGCTGAGCATAAAACTCTCACATCGAAACACATTTAGGTGAAGCCCCTAAAACAATTCGCCCTAATGGACAAGGCGGCGGCGACGCACTGCGTCAACCAGACGCCAGATCGGTCCGGCGAAAGGAGCGAATTCCCCCAACCTTTATCGGTAGCTGCGCCACGTGCTCCCCAAGGTCGCTTTCTCGAAGCGACGCGGACATGTGTATATATTTCCGTTTGTTTACTTGCACCGCCACCAAACTCGACATTCAACTCGATTGCCACAAGACACGTGGCAACTGGCAGTCGGCTCAGCAGCTCTAGCCAGCGTTATATTTCTATTGGTGTAATGGCTTAATAATTTCCAGAGCTGATTTGGCAAGGGAACATTCGATGGCTTAGGTCTTAGGTTAACTTGTATTTTTACGGTTCTTTCATCAGATCCAAGAGCACAACACTCGTGCCAGTGATATATAAATAAAGAATTCAGAGAAGAAGTTAAACTTCCTTAGCTAAGACTGAAGAATCTTTGTAAGTATTTAAACACGGACTAAATCAAGTCGCCCTTTTTAATAATATTCATCGGCCCTACGCGCCGCATATACATACGTACATATTCGTACATAGTACATATGTATTCAAAATATAAACTTGTTCGGTAGGACAAGGTAGGTAGCTGTCGAACTATTGAAAATGCTCAATAGCTTTACTTTTTGTCCTATGCAGGGCAGTGCCAAGGCTCCACCATTTAGGGGCGCCGATTTGGATTCGAAACGCTTCCGAAGGCACTGACGAAAAGAAATGGATGTTGGACCGCGAATTGTCAAGAATTTACGTGCAGAAAGTCTTTGGCGGTCGGACATGGTTCTATTTTAATGGAGTTCCAAGGTTTCATTTTGGCCCATACAAAATGTATACATAATCATGTATGCTTTTAATGAAAATGTCAAAATTGGCTTATGGCAAGTGGCACAGGTAGGTAAATGTCTGTTTCGTGGTTCTAAAGCTAACTTCGCCGTTCAACTGCACCTCACGTCCCTCCATGCTGCCATGCCTTGCTGCTTCTTGAATGCGTTGTAGGAATTGGCTCCTTACAATAGCATTGCACAGCCATATTTTCCTTATTCTCCATGGAATAAGGGTAAGACATCAGGATTATGGCGATGAAGTATCATCAATGGAAAAGGTGCACACACTTTCATATTCTGGTCATGTTTTATCTTTCAAGCTAACGTTGTGGTCAGACATTCCGGCCGAATTAGCGATAAAATCCGCCAAACAGATATTTGATAACCGGCCCATTATCGGCTCTCTTAACTTTGTTTTTTGAGCACCCAAGAGGAAGTTTCAAGTAACCAAATTCGTAAATAAAACTTATTTTATTTTATTTCCATCCAATAAAAATATTTAATATAAAGGCAGCTTGAGGGCGCCGTTTCACAACTTCGCACCGGTCGCAAATTTTCCTTGGGACGGCCCTGCTCCCATGTAGATGTCAGGCACCCATGACATTTATAGAATCTCGAAACAAATCCCAAAATAGATTACGGGAGTTTTTTGAATCAACAACTGCTCTCAACGCTATCCAAAGTTTTTTTAGACCTTTTCTTTCTATTCAGAATGAAAATATTGATCTGCAGATCTTGAGATCCAAATCTTGAGCTATCCAAGTTAGTCATGATTTATGTGTGTGAATGTCTAACACAAAAGAAGAACTTTTAAGACGGCCAAGATCGGGTCGTGTTTTCAGTTTTGAACCACTTCGAAGTGGTTCTGCCGGTTGGTGTTGATGGCCTTGAAACATTTGTTTTATTTGTAGCAATCCCCAAGAGAATTGGTGCACGCGTTAGAATCTGTCTACTAGTCTGTATAGGCGAGGAGTGAAATAGTTAATATATATTTTGTGGGTCCATCTTCTTCTTACAGATACCGGTTTTTATGCTAATTATCAGCCAACAAGACGGAAAACCACTTGGCAGGCGGCGGTCGCACAGAGCTAGCCATTGTCATTATCGCCAATGTGCGACTAGTTTGGAAACACTTCCGCGACGAACAAAGACAACGGTGACTGCAGATGTGGCCGAGGAACTCTTACTCACAAAAATATTCACATAATCAACTCAATGGAGCTATTGAAGTTTACTCTTGACGGAATACAATTAAGACTAAGCTCTAAAATTTAAGCGCAGATGCAAAGGTACCTACACACTACATGTGTGTAAGTACATATATTTGAAGGGCTTTGCTTGGACTTAGGCAAGAGAAGAGGGCAAGTAATAGGTGCCTACTGTGCTGGTGGCAGGGGGGGGCGTCGGAGACGTATAGGAGTAGCCAGATGTTGCTCTCGTCGTGGAGCTGATCTCTGCCACATCGGTGGTGCTCTCCACTGCGATCACTTCTGTCGTGCTGGTCGAGACTGGACGTCCGGGATGTACTGTAGGCTTTGGCGTTTCGATATCACCTTCTGTTGTTGTCGTGTAGACGGTTTGAGTGGTTTGAGTAGAGCTGTCTTCCGGAGTAAAGTCTGTGTTTACCTCTGTGGTGCGGTACGTGACCGGCTTCTCCGTCGTTGAAGTGGTGCTGGAGAAGGATACGAATTTGTTGAATCCAAACCCGAAGCCACCACCTGACGACTTGGCCTGCAGCACGCTGTTCAGCAGCTGTATTTTGGTGGATATCAGGGTGGAGATCAGCTGTGGGTTAATGGGCGAGGCTGTCACCGTACTGGAACTTCCGTACGAGTAGCCGCCACTGGAGGCACCTAGGCGAGGAGAACAGAACGTTACTTTGTGGTGTCCCTGCAATTGACGGCTGGATTACCACTGCTCGGCGAGAACACCTTAATGAAGATCGGCTTAGCATCCGCCATACTGGCTGCACTGCAAATAAGCAGAGCCAAAATTGAAATAGCTCTGTGCATGTCGTCTGCGGCCACGTGACTGTGACTGGCCCCGCGAGACGACGTTCTCTTTTATACATCGCTACGACGGGGTCGGTCTCGTCGGAGATGCCTCAGCTGTTTCTGTTGTCATTATATGATTATTGTGCGCTTGGCTCTGTGCTGTGTGAGTCCAAGTGGCTTACAAACATGATTCAGCTGCCGATGAGGCTGGATGAGGCCGCCGGTGTCAGCGAGTGGTAAGTGGTAGGTAAGCAATCACATCCAGTAATTTATCGTCAATGTGTTGGGCTAACAATCTGATACAGAGAGCGGGAGCAGGAGAGCCTCTGTACCTTAGATTCAACACCTACAGAGAGTATGCAAATATCGAGAAGTGAAACAGCTTCAAGTTCCTCGCGTGTCTCTCTTGTCATTATTTTAACGAAAATAGTTTGGAGCTTTAAATCTCTAGTTTTAGACAGTTCCAACTCAATCAAAAGCTTTCCAAATATCACAACGCACCTCGTAGGCTGAGAGACTCAACTGGTGATTCAGTTCGTAGGTTAATTATCAATGTCACAGCCTACTTATCCTACAGTGTGGATATGTGCATAATTAGCATTGGTTTTAAAGCTATCGTAATAGAATGAGCCCATCTGACCAGTCAGTGCATTATGCTTAGTGTTTATTGGTTTCTACTGTCGGGTTTCACTCTCCGCTAAGTTCATTTACATATTTTTAAGCATTTTTATTTGACTGGGCTCACATTAAATCCTTGATCGCTGGTCCTAAAAGGAGTCCCTATTGATATTCCCTTATGATTATGGCATAGCATACTTTTTTGATGAAAGTAAATTGTCAGAGCCGCGTCCTGGGCACAGCCCTCCAGGGACAAGCTGAAGGACCAAGGCATCGTTTCCACATTGGCAAGCCCTCCTGAGAACTGGTTCCACATGACGCAATTATCTACTGGGCAAATATTACCAGCTTATCCATACTAACTCACACATACTCGTACATACTTATGTACACATGTATGCACATATATAGAGAGCAAATACTAGATATGTACATTGTACATATGTACATACAGACGCGAGCCGGGGGGGCCTTCTATTCTGATTCGGTCGCTTACATATTTATACAATAGACACATAAGTAGTAGTTTTATACTTTATGACAGCCGATATTTGCCTTAGAGCTCAGGCTCATCCCAATGAGCCGGCCATAAATCGTTACATCATGAGCTCCCTCCAGTGCGCTCCCTCCACCTCCAGTCCTCCAGTTCTCCGATGGCACTGGTAAAATATTCAAAGTATTGCCAAACACTTGCCGGCTTGAAGTATTCATGAGTGCCGTCCGACTGTGTGGGTGTATTTATTTATTTGCTGCTGCCAGAATTATATGTTTGCATTCATTTATGCAAACAGCATAGGCCCAAGAACGTGAGTGTGAGTGCGGGTGCGGGTAAGGGTGAGGGTGCGGGTGTGCACCGTTCATAACAGTAAATTTTTATTGGCAACACTTTGACTCGTAAAGAAAAACGATGGCATGGCCACCGCCTATTCCGGTTCATGGTTCCCGATACCCTGTTCACAGCGTCCTGCCAGATCCGGCAGGCCACCATCGCAGCGGTGGGCTTTTAATAATTTAACCACCACTATTTAGTTTCCATTTCCGCAAAATGCTTTCGTGTTAACGCCTCGAATGCAATAAATAAGCCAGTTCGGCCAACGTTAACAAAACAGCAGCCAAAACAACGGCACTCCCGCCCTGGCCAGTCCTGCATGAGGCCCAGTATATGTGGGATGTGGGATGTGGGCTGTGGGCTGTGGGCTGTGGGCGTGCAGAAAGCAAAAACAAATCCCATAATGCTAACTCATAAATATTTCACTTTATTGCGCAACCTCAAACATGGGTTACTGCCGCTCGAGCGGTGGCGAAGTCAAAAAATGCTTCATAAATTATTGCACAGGCTTACACACTAAGCATTTTCTTTTCCGGCCTTCTACGGCACTCACTCCGTCGGTCCGAGCTTCGAACTCTGAAATTCTGGGCAATTTCCATATCAATATTTGCATAGCCGACAGTCGTTTCACTTTGATTTCCACAAGTTCAATTCGTAATGGACAGCAGAGAAGGGGTTTCCTGCTTAGCAGGTTGTAATTTATTTGATTTCGGTAACTGGGGATCACTGTGACTGCAACGTGCATGAGGAAATCTCTTTCTCTGAGTATCTCATGGCTTGCGGCCTCCAAATTAGAGAGTTTTCCAATGGTTTTGGCTTGCTAATACTTTATAAACCTTCACTGATTTGTTTTTACCTATTAAGTTATACTAAGACATTGTTATGTACATGCAAATACATTATAAGCCTCTTAACACGTTTGAGTCTCGATATATTGATCCGGCCATGAGCATCATCTAAAAAATAATTACTTTATGAGTCGGTATCGCTAGCTTCTGGCTGTTACATAACACGAATCTAATAGAATTTCATTTGATTTTTTTCCATGAGTGAACATGAATTTATTTGCCTTCTTCTTCCAATCGGGGCACTCTTAACGCACCTCAATATACCTAATGTTGTACTGGAGGGTCTGGCATCGAAATCTCTGAACGTCCCGGTTTTATTTAAAAACAATTGGGCTTAGTGCCCTACTAAACTGATAAAATATTCTTGAAGCTGACTGACTTGGTACCGGGTATAAAAGTAGAGGCGTGGTTTTTTACGCGCCTCACAACGTTCTCTTAGGCGTGGACTTATCTCTTAGTGGGAGGTTTAAGTAGCGCCTCTTGAAGTACTCCTCTTACCTTTACCTTAGTTTTAATAAAAGTGCATAGACAATATAGAGGAAAAGCCAAGTTGGCGGTGTGTGACACGTACGGCCAATGCTACTTCTCTGCCTAATAGTGAGCCTGTCGATGTAATGAGGGCTGCCAATGCCGCCAATGCCACGGACGAGGGGTGAGGACAGACGCAGATGCAGATGAGATGCCTTGCCGCATGTTCGCATGTAAAGTTTTGATGGTAAACGCGAATTATCGGGAAGAACTTTGGGAAGCTTACTGCCGGGTTACGGCGGAGCGGAATGGCCGGCAAAAGTAAAAGTCAAAGGGAGCACAATGATGTTACTTTTTCGCAAATAACGTAATCGGAAAAGTTGCCAAGTTTTTCCTGCTACTTTTCATATTCTTCTTTCGACCGGCTGCGGCTCGCAACTTATTGAAAAAATGCCATTCAATTGCCTTGTTACCAGTAAAAGGAGACCGAAGCAGGCCGGCCCGCAGAAGCAAACGTAGAAGAATGGGTCTGTGGCGGTCTGCCAGCAGAGTTGCCAAGAATGCGAAGAAGGCTTTGGCACAAGCACTTGGAGCTTGGCTGTCTCCGTCTGAAGCTCCTTCGCATCGCATCGCCGTGCCCGCTCTGTCGTCACTCACCCCACGCAGCTCGACTATTTTTCAGCGTATTGTATTCCCTTCCATTTGCAACGCCTGCGAAAAGGAAAGTGCGAAATTGGCACACCAGGCGACAACCCTGGCGAATCCCTAGGGGCCGGCCGCGGCTTGGACAGAGCTCCAAGGAGGGACGGGACGGGACGGAACGGGACCGGACTCCAGGCACTACTGGCTCTACTGGAGCTTCAGCTTCAGTGGCAACAGTGATGGCCGAGCCGTGGAGGGACGTCGCCGTTGTCGATGTAGTGGAAAAATGCCATAATGCTACAACTACTCGTACAAACAAGAAAACAACAAACTGCGTAAAAGTTTTAAGTGCTTTCGAACATTTTGACATGTTGACTTTTTGTTGGTTTGAATGGAACCAATAATGTTCCAAAGAAAACTTATTTTCTTGACATAATCAATGAAAACATCGAGCATGATTGAGTGGAGATCCGAAACGAGGCTTGCACCCCCGAACCATTTCAGAAACCATTTTACTTTCGAGGCTTAAGCATGGGGCATACATATACTAAATACTGAACCCGGGCTTGTGGCTTGTGGCATGTTCCAGAGCTCTCCACTTCTTCTAAAGCAATTACAGTGCACAGTCCTTCATCAGGATTAGCTGAGGCTCTGGCACTCACTCTACTTATATGTAGAAGCGGCTAGTGCATTAATTTATTGGTCTACTAGTTCCCTTGTGGCACAAATAAAAATATCACTTTCTCTCATTTATTCCAATGTCATTCAGCTATTGGATCCATCCATAGTTGTCTGCCTACAAATATCCAAACATTTCCAGTCGGGCGTTCCTTCCCAGGAGCGTCACACGTAATTGATAATTCATAAACTAATTAGTCCTCGGCAATGGCAAAGGCAAGGGCATGCAGGGATCAGTATGACTGAACTCCGGCAGTCGCCGAATCAACTATGAAGCCCAAAGACGGCCTGAACTGACTCGTACTTTTAAAGGCAATAAAAGCGCAAATATATTACAAGCGCGCAGCAAACTACCATGACCGCCTCCTCCCCAAACCCCAAACCCCTAGCCCCATGCCCAGCACCAGTCTCAACCCCGGCCTCGGCGACGGCCTCCCCTTGCCTCTCACGTCAGCACCAGTTGCTGCGTTTGAGCAAACAGACGTGAAATTTGTGGAAATGGCTTCCTATGGGAATGTTTACATCTGGAATGAATTTGCAAACTCTGACAGTTGCTCGCATTTAATGTCAGTCAACGAGTCAGCGTCACTGTCAGGTGGGCACTGGCGCTGGCACTCGCAGGTCAGGCGGACAGGCAGTCAGACAGAAAGGCAAGTCAGGCAAGTGAGGCAATCAGACAGTCAGACAGGCGGGAGGCAGTCTATTCGCGGGCGTAGGACACTTTCGACCTTCCCCTTCGTTTATTTAATCGTGAGCCATCCGACAAGTTGAAGGGTGCGATTAATTTAAAACCTGCCAATTTCGCCGATTTCCCTTGAGCTGGAAGGTGAAAGCTGAAATATGGCAACGGATCATGGCTTTGGCCGATGCGACGCAAAATGCGATGTGTCAGACTTTCATCCCAAGTTCTGTGGCCGGAAAAGGCGCTTGGCAACTGTCAAAAATGTAAAGTGCCCACTCAAGC